TTTTAAAGTTTTTGGAACCCACTTTCACAAAACTTCGGTATCTTATATTCTGAGTACTTGTTAATATTTCATTTTGGCAGATCAAATCAATACAGAGTTTAAGAGCAGTAACTGAGCCTGGGTGGGTTATAGAAGGAGGACCCTGCAAGCCAGTTAAGGAAAGAAGCTGTAACCAATTGACTGGTTGAGTTGGCAAGCCTGTAGTTAGTGAAGTTGTTTCTTCTGTTTCTCACCATTGTTTTGTTCTATAAATACTGTCCCATCCTGCTGCTGGCTGGAGTTCCCAGAATCTGCTGTGGTAGGGAGGGATGAGAGGAGGATGATCAATGGTTACTAAGTTACTGTTGAATGGAAACAAGAGATTCTGCTCTGTCACTGAACTGTAGAGTGAATACAGGTAACACTGGTATTATATATTTTTAAAAGTTCAAAGAAAAATTTTTAGATTTTTCATCATAAAAAAGGTAATAAATGAGCCAGGTGTGGTGCTTTATACCTTTAATCCAGCACTGCAGAGGCAGAGATAAGAGGATCAAGAATTCAAAGCTATCTTTGGCTATGTAGCAAGTTTGAGGCCAGCCTGTGCTACATGAGGTCCTTCCTCAAAAAAAGTGATAAAAGTTTGAGGATAGATATATTTAATCTGACTGAAAAAATACAATATATATTAAAATATTTTATTTATGGGGCTGGAGAAATGGCTCAGCGGTTAACAGCAATGACTGTTCTTGCAGACTACCCAGGTTTGAATCCCAGCACCCACATGACAGCTAACAACCCTCCATAACTCCAGTTTCAGGGGATCCAACGCTTTCTTCTGGCTTCCATAGGCACCCCACACATACACATACACGTAAAAAGAAATTTAAAAAATCTTAAAATGGATGTATACAATCTTATCTGACATGCTTATTAAGGATATTTGATTTTTTTTTCTTTGACTTCTATTCAATATACTTACCTAAGTGTCTCCAATGTGGTAGGCCTGTGTCTAATAATCAGAAATAAAGCATTTCAATCCCTGGTACTCACGGTTTACCTTACCCAGTGTAATGGGGGAAGTAGACAGGAAGTAATTATTGCAAATAAGCTCCCAGATGCCTCCCTGTTAGTACAAGCAGAATATAGTGGATGCACTAAAAGAGGTAACTGGACAATTCTATATGAAGGAGTCCCAACAGCCTTCAACAAAGAGTTGATTCTTAACTAAATATAAAGTAGGTGAGTGGCATGGACAAGGAGGAAAAGAAATTCCAGGCAGCACAACACTTAAAACAGGGTTAGAGATCTGGCTGGGGAAGAAACTTTGAAACAGGGTTTGCTAGGGAGTGTTACCAGGCAAGTCCAGAGAAAGACAAGGCAGGACACAACTCATATCCTCTAATTTCAAAAATTATACATAACTATAGGTTTTCAGTGATGTCTAATCAGACTTTTCATTTTCTAAATTATTTATTTAATAACCACATACTTAGAAGAAGCATTTCATTACAACAGCATTGACATATTCAACAACAATTTCCAGAGCTAAGATGCATCTCTTTCAAAATTGGCTGTAGATTTTCAGGTTTACAGTTGAATTATTACAATTATACAATATTGTACTCAGTATAAACCCTATAAGACATAAAATTAAATGAG